ACAGAACAACTGTGTCAACTCTTGAAACTGTGCCTGCAGTCAACCTACTTCACATATGGGGAGCAATATTATAGGCAGAAACATGGGTGTGCTATGGGGTCTCCAGTTTCTCCTATTGTTGCCAACCTGTACATGGAGGAGGTAGAAAAGAGAGCCTTGACATCCTTTTCAGGGACACCACCAAGTCATTGGTTCAGATATGTTGATGACACCTGAGTTAAAATTAAATCTCAGGAAGTCCAACATTTTACTGACCACATCAACTCTGTGGATAAATACATCAAGTTCACACGAGAAGATGAAAAAAATGGCAAGTTGGCTTTCTTGGACTGTGAGGTCTCAGTCTCTGATAGAGGACATTTGCAAACTGAGGTGTACCGCAAACCCACCCACACAGACCAGTATTTGCAGTTTGACTCCCATCACCCTTTGGAGCACAAGTTAGGAGTCAGAAGGACTCTGTATCGCAGAGCAGACAGCGTCCCCACTAGCTCAGGAGCCAGGCAGAAGGAAAAATCCCACACAAGACAGGCTCTAGAGCAATGTGGATATCCTAACTGGGCCTTCCTAAAAGCAGAGAAGAAACCCAAACAGGACTCCAGTCAGCCAACAGGTGAAAAGGAGGAACCCAGACCCAGACCAGTGGTCATTCCATATGTTGAGGGAGTATCAGAGAAACTGAGACGTTTATTTTCTAAACATAACGTCCCAGTGGCTTTTAAACCCCAAAATACATTACGGCAAAGACTGGTTCATCCCAAAGATCCAGTCCCCCGGCACAAACAGAGTAATATTGTGTATGTTGTTCAGTGTCAGGAGGGTGATCAGTCTTGCATCAGGGAAACTAAACAGCCACTGGCCAAAAGGATGGCCCAGCACAGAAGATCAACATCATCAGGCCAGGACTCTGCGGTCTACACTCATCTCCAGGCCAGAGGTCACTCTTTCAGGGATGAAGATGTTCACATCCTGGACAGAGAGGAACGATGGTTTGAGAGAGGAGTAAAGGAGGCCATCTTTGTGAAAAGAAATCGTCCATTGTTAAACAGGGGTGGAGGCCTCTGTGTTCAACTGTCCCCCTCTTACAATGCTGTGATTGCTAGTATCACTCAGCCCTCTGTGAATAGTAAACAGCCATCAGTGTGCTAATGATCCATTGTTAGGCTGATGGTCCTTCTTGAGCATGAGATCAGCTGGTTTTGGTTGTCAGCAGCAAAACTGGTTGATCCACTCTGAGAAGGTGCTATTTAAGAGACTGAGCTGAATACAGCACCTCAGACTGAGGAAGTCTCTCGGATGAGAGACGAAACGTTTCTACATTTTTTTGTTGTTTTGCTTTGTTTTGTTTTTTTGAATGTCCAGAGGACCAGATTTAACTTTTTTAGATTTTTCTACCTGGATTATTGAGCATGCATCAGGATATTTTATGGACAGAATTTTTCGGTGCAGCCATGGGGCAGAGGGATTCCGGTTTGGTGGCCTCAGGATTCCATCTCTGCTTTTTTTCACATGATGTGGTCCTGTTGGCATCATAGTGCCGTGATCTTCAGCTCTCACTGGAGTGGTTTGCAGCTGAGTGTGAAATGGCTGAGATGAAAATCAGCACTTCCAAATCTGAGGTCATGGTCCTCAGTCTGAAAAGGGTAGATTGTTTTCTTCAGGCTGAGGGTGCGGTTCTGTCTCAAGTGGAGGAGTTCAAGTATCTCTGGGTTTTGTTCATAAGTGAGGGAAGAATGGAGCATGAGATTGGTAGACAGACTGGTGCAGCATCGGCAGTATTACAGAGTCTGCACTGTTTCATTGTAGTGAAGAGGGAGCTGAGTTGTAAGGCAAAGCTCTCTTTTTACCGGTTGGTCTACGTTCCTACCCTCACCTATGGTCACAAGGTCTGGGTAGTGACCAAAAGAATGAGATCATGGATACAGGAGGTTGACATGAGTTTTCTCCACAGGGTAGCTGAACTCTCCCTTATATAAAGGGTGAGAAGTTCAGTTATCTGGGAGAGACTCGGAGTAGAACTGCTACTCCATCGAAAGGAGCCATTTGAGGTGGTTCAGGCATCTGGTAAGGATGCTCCCTGTGCGCCTCCCTAGAGAGGTGCTTCAGGCATGTCCGACTGGGAGAAGACCCCAGGGAAGACCAAGGACATGCTAGAGAGACTGTCTCTTGGTTGGCCTGGAAACACCTTGGGGTCCTCCCAGAAGGCCTGGAAGAGGTGGCTGTGGAGAGAGATGTCTGGACTGCCATGCTCAAGCTGCTGCCCCTACGACACTACTTCAGAACAAGTGAAAGATAATGGATGGACGGTTTACTTACATGTCATTTCCTCTTCGAGCAGCGATGTGAAGTGGCAAAAGTCCTGTTTTTCCAGACTTATTGGCATCAGCATTCTGAGAAAGGAGGAGATCCACAATTTTTTTGTGTCCATTTTTAGTAGCTTCATACAAAGCTGTAGCTCCATCAGCTGCCTGAGTGTTAACATCTGCACCTACAGGAACATATGAGATTCAAGGTTGATTTCAGAAGGGATGTGCGTCAGAACAAACTAACAAAACTAAACCTGAATATGAAAGTTAACCAAGAACATATAAACAATCCCCAGCTATGGCCACCAAAAAGGAAGGATTTTGGATCTTGTGAATCTTGTGTGTGTGTGGCTGGGTGGGTGGGGGGGCAGGATTTATGTTTTTTGCCTGTGCTTCTAATCACATTTTCCCAAAAGCAAAAGCTAAGTGGCGTTCCCAGGATAGTGCCACAAGTTCTTGCTATGCTTAAGGCTGAGCTGTGCCATAATTATTTGGTGGCTCGATAAAGCCACTTGGTGATTTGCTCCTACAACCACTACCTTCTCTGAGTAACTTAAACTAACAAGTTTCACTTACCTATGTTTTTCCAGAAGCCTGTGTCAAGTTACCTTTGTTTCTATGGTCCCTGGATCTTGATCATACCCTCTTTAGCTGTCTCAGTCCTCCTACCAACGTTCTCAGCTCAGTATGTACGTCCCATCCTGTCTGCTCTTCTCACCTGCTCAACCAGAGGAAGACTCACCTGCATAGGATATCCTCCTCCAGATCAAAAAGGAAATCCTGGCAGTTCCTCAGACAAAGACTAGACATCAGTAGTGAGAATATAAATCCATCATCAAACTTTCTTCACACACTTGCCTCAAAAACATAACTGTCTCCTGCTTCGTCGTAGATCTCTTTCTGCACCCCCCCCCCCCCCCCACACACACACATATTTTATAAGAAAACCCTTTAACACTTTTACCTACTTCTCTGTGACTCTGTTAGAAGTTTAATCTTGCTGGAGGCCCGATCTCACTCACTCTGAATTATAACTTAGTTTGGACCAAATCAGATCAGGCTCAACTGCTCACAGTGAGCGATCCCAGGGTCAACACCCAAAAATGAGTCATTTTTGTTTGCTTGCTTCCAACACTTTCATAGATTTGCACATCACCCCATTATCCAATGAATAAAGGCTAAATAAAAAAAAATTAAAATCCATAATCAGGAACAGATAAGACCGATGATGTCACACATAGTTACCCCACTGACATATTCTGATAAGCTATGCCTGCCCCAGATGTGAAGGCGGAGCCAAGGGACAACATAAGCTGGGGTGTTCCATTGCATGGGGCCACCGCTTCCGCTTCCGGGTTAAGACGAGTAGGACGGACACCTCAGCGCTGAGCTTGTAACTTTTCCTGCCTTATCAGAATCAGAATAAACTTTATTGGCATTGCACCGAGATACAATGCGAATATGTATGTACAGTCTGTGATGATTTCTAGGCAGGAGACCCATTTGGTGCAGGCAGGCAGGCAAGACTCAAGGAATATAAATAAATAGTTTATTCTTTACAAAATAAAGATGGCTGACGGGGCAGCAAACTTACATGAATCATGGGACAAGACGCAGGATACGAGGAGCAGGACACAAGGAGCAGGACACAAGGAGCATAACAGGCATCACAGTGAGACAATGACCAGACAATGAGGGATGCAGGCAAACAGACTTAAATACACACACACACTAACACAGAACACCTGTGAAACATCACAGGTGCAGACATCAGAGGGGGAGCAGACAAATATAGAACACTAGAGGGAGACAGAGACCAGGGAAAGCACAACTCCTACAGTAACTCCCCCCAAGGACGTCCCTTGACGTCTCCAAGACCCCCACATCCCCAAAATGTGGGTGGGAGGAGGGGGAAAGCCAACAGGGAGGAGGGCACTAGGAAAAAAAGGCACGAGGGGAATGAAGAACTGGACAGGGTACACCAGGGGCAAGGTACAACACATGGAAACAAAAAGGAGGTCAGAGTTCAGGTAGGGAACTGTGAGATTGTCCAAAAAGCAGGAAACAGGTCAGACAGGCAACCATTCACCAGGCCGGGACCAGTCAGGCGGGCGGCCGAGAGGTTGTCCAAAAGGCAGGAACAGATCAGGCATAGCAGGAGTGAGGAGCTCAGCAGCGAGGAGCTCTTCTGCGGCTGGATCGGCGGCGGCTGGATCTGGAGCAGGAGCGGAGTCCGTCTGGACCCCCACGGAGCAGGAGAAGTGAGGAGCATCCGCCGGGACCCCCTCACAGCAGGAGAAGTGAGGAGCATCTGCCGGGACCCCTCGGAGCACAAGAAGTGAGGAGCATCCGCCGGGACCCCCTCAAGGCACAAGAAGTGAGGAGCGTCCGCCGGGACCCCCTCGGAACAGGAGAAGTGAGGAGCGTCCGCCGGGACCCCCTCGGAACAGGAGAAGTGAGGAGCATCCGCCGGGACTCCTTTGGAGCAGAAGTGAAGAGCTCAGTGGGCAGAGCAGGAGCAGCGTGGGATCCACCTCGGGGGCTGCGTGCAGCGACAGGATCTGGAGAAGACGTGTCTGGGTCTGTGGGCTTTGGACAGGTGGGATCCTCATACAGCATGGATGATGCAGAGGCTGCAGGAGATGGAAAAACTATGGAAAGTAGGCATGGGAGCGACCACAGGGGCTGCAGCTGTGAGGACCTCAGGAGCCAGGAGCAGGAATCGAGGAAGCGCCGGGGGTGTAGCTGGAGGCTCAGAGTCTCTAAAAGGACCCCGCAGCTTGTCTTCCAGGGACAGAGCAGTGTGAGTCGGGCTGCCTGCTGGGTCTTGGTTTGGTCTGGTCATTCTGTGATGATTTCTAGGCAGGAGACCCATTTGGTGCAGGCAGGCAGGCAGGCAGGACTCAAGGAATATGAATAAATAATTTATTCTTTACAAAATAAAGATGGCTGACGGGGCAGCAAACTTACATGAATCATGGGACAAGACGCAGGATACGAGGAGCAGGACACAAGGAGCATAACAGGCATCACAGTGAGACAATGACCAGATAATGAGGGACGCAGGCAAACAGACTTAAATACACACACACTAACACAGAACACCTGTGAAACATCACAGGTGCAGACATCAGAGGGGGAGCAGACAAATATAGAACACTAGAGGGAGACAGAGACCAAGGAAAGCACAACTCCTACACAGTCGTCCAAAGATGGGCGGAGTGCACGAAGCTGCGGCTAAAAATAATTAGCGCGGCCCTCTTATTCTTATTCAGAATAATATTTTGCTTAGATGAGAAAAGGAAAGAAAACATGAGGAGAGACAGTATATATAAAAAAAAAATCTCTCATACCGTGTCCTAGACAGGGCACGATTTGAGGCATCAAAAAAACCTACCACAACAAAGCAACATAAACAGACGTGATACATTTACATATAGGCCAGTGGAGACATTAAATGGTGAATAGAATTTACTTTTGATTTTATTTAATTCATGTGAGTTTCCTCTCCAACTGTAAACAAAAGAACCGGAAGGGTGCCGTGGTCGGACGGCTGACAAAATGGTGCCATGACTCGGATTCTTTCTCCCAGGTTGGTTTAATTTCATAATTTATTTCCATCTGTAATATTTTCATTTGAGGCATCTGATTTGAAAAAGGGTTATTCGCACTATACTTTATATCATTTTTATTTTTTGTTTTATCGTTCTAGTTCCAAGCTAGTGAATAGGGTCAGACTTCGCTTCCCTAACATAGTTCGTACCTCTCCATAGGGGTTAATAGGCACACTAGGATTAATCAGAATCAGAATAAGCTTTATTATCTGTTCGATAGCAATGACTTTTAGGTTCAAACTGTATGATGATTTTGATATTGATATCCACCTTGTGGTGCCGGTAAGGAGCACAGACAGGATGCTTGAAGATCTTTGGGTTCTTTAATTATGAACAGATGACATACAGCAGCCTTCACTTTACATGTGTCTGAGTATGTGTGGTCTATAAAATAAATAAATAAAACAAAATCAGAATTGCATGCTGTCTGTATTAATAAACTACTTCAAATATCTACTTTCAACTGTTACATCTACACAGTGTGACTAACTTATTATAACCAAAGCTTAAACACTCATAACTTTGATGCTTAACAGAGTTTACAAAGCAAACACTGCACTGGATGTAGTTAGCATTAGCATGTAGCTCCTACCAATAAACAGCCTTGAATATTACAGAATGAGCAACCAATAATATCAAACCTGAGCTAAACATGGCATATCTACAGTAACAAAACACATGACAATTGTCTATGCAGCTGTTTTTATGTTCAACTTACATTTTGTCATCTACGCACACAACTTGAGCTGCTTCTGCTGCTCAACATGGCCGGCTCCATGTCAGACTAATTAAAGTGGTGCGCAGTTCTAAACTAAAGATGCACTTACCAATATTCACCACTAGATGTCTCTTAACACCATAATTCAAACTAAATGTCTCGGTGCTAAACCCACTGCCTTTCTAACAGTATCAGTGCACCGAGATACAACGAGAGTAGCTGTTGGCGCATTGATTCAATTGCTTCAATTGAGTGCGGTGTTTCTGTCTTCTGTCTGGACAGTCTGCTTGGACTGGCCCTGTTGTTGTTGAAAACTTTATTAAATTGAATTTGGGTGAATTTCAAGAGGTCACTTACCAGCATGAGAAGAACAAATGTGCAAGAGGTGGAGTCCTCCACAGCAGATCTGTAGGCCATAAGGACAAGGAGAAGGTGCAAGTCCCAATCCTGCTGGTGGTCCGCAGTAAGTATGGCTAGTTGTTTTGCAAGTGTCTTATTAAATCATTTGACTAGGCTGTCACTCTGCAGATGCAGTGGGGTAGTCCTAGTCTTTTGCATGCCCAGTCGCTCACACATTGCAGAGAAGATGCCAGACTTAAAGTTTCGTCCTTGATCGCTATGGATGACCTCTACTGCACTAAACTGGGAAAACAAACCCTCCACCAGAGCATCTGTAGCACTCCCCACCTCCTGATCTGGTATTGCTAAAGCTTCAAGGCATTTTGTGAAATAATCCATAGCAACTAGGACATAACAGTTCCCTTTGTCTTTGCGGGGAAACTGGCCCATTACGTCCACACCAACCCTTTCCATAGGAACCCCCATAGTCAGTCATTGGAGCTGGGCACAG